AAAAAAAAAAAAAGAAATCCAGGACAGATAGATCTATAGAGCTAGTAACTGGACTGATAATTGTTTAGGTGTATGGTAGGGAAGGATGGGGGAGAAATGGGGAATTAACAGCAATGTGTTAAGAAATGGTTCTGAAATTCATTTGGGTGATGACTGCACAGATATTCCCAATATGACTGAAAGACTACATTGTATGACATGTGAAGTATATGCCAATAAAACTTAAAAAAAATATATAGCCTAGAAACCCCTATGAAGCAGTTCAACTTTGTAAGAAAGGGGATCTCCAGTTGGAACTGACTCTACAGCAACTAGCAACAACAGTTAACACTCAACTGATCTTTCCTTCAATGGATTAGATACAGCTAGCTGGCTGAACATGTAGAAGCTTTTTAAATCCTTCAATGTCAGGTTCAATTTATGAAATGAATAAGCAAAATCCATTACAGTAAAATGGGCAAATGTATGTAAAAGTTCTTGCTTTAAAAGAATCACCCAGGAGTACTGGTTTTATATCATGCTCTTTGTGGAAACAATTGTTCATTCAATCAAGTATGACTCAGTTGCAGAAAAAGGTTAATTTGAGCATAATAAATGCTCCTAGCATAATGTATGACATAATAAAGTTCAGCAACTTCTGTGAGTGAAATTCCTTTTAAAAATCCTGCTTTGAAAAATTAACTTCTTTAAACTGTCTTATTTTTATTGCCTTAAAAACATTTCTTTTTCCTGCAACATATACATGTTAAGTTGATTCTGCTGTCAGGAGATTCTGACTCATAGTGACCACACAGGACAGAGTAGAATTGTTCAATATGATTTCTGAGTCTGTACGTCTCTATGAAAGCAGACTCCGTCGTTATTTCCCTTGAAGGAGGAGGGGGTGGGTTCAAACCACCAACCTTGTGGTGAGCAGCGCAATATTTAATTAGCCCACTGTGCCACCACGGGTTACCTAAGGCGTGGCTCATTCCGAAGACCCAGTTCAAATAAATGTATGCACTGCACTGAGTTCAAATAAGTAACATGGAGTTATCTCACTTACAGGTGGGTTTGCTGCCATATGTGAGCTTTAAACATGTCCACCACAGAGTTACTCTACTCGATATGTAACAACACTGCAGAGGTTAGATAATCCTCAATACTCAGTTAGCACCAAGGAAAAACATCTGGAAACATGGCAATTATTTCAAATTATGAAGCACTTAAAATAAAACACAAAACTTAACTCTCAGAGATCATCAAGAGAAAATTTGGAGCATATACAATTCCAATACAATATTTAATACACCTTCTTTAAAGTTAAAAAAAATCTCTAGGCATTTCTAGGCATTTCTCACATGAGGTCCAAATAAAAGAAATGCCATATACAGTTTAATATTAGTCTTTGAAAAAGGAAGTTGGCAACATCTTTACACATAATATTTATTCCAGAAGGTACAAGAAGGATGGATGAGGTAACTGAAGAAAAATCAAAACGTTCCTACAAACCTTCAAAACAACAAAGTACTGTCAGTCACAGTGTGATAAAATTGCACTCCCCTGCTTATTTAAAGCAATTCAGTTGCTTTTTAAGTTTGTGCTTGCTAGAGAGAAAAGTTGAGAGAAAAGTGGAACAAATAAAACATAACTCTGTAACTACAGCTTTATGATGAGTCTGATCAAAATAAGCAGGAACTTGTTTAAAATGCAAGTGATATCATTACAAATGTAAAAATGTAACTTTCTATGTAAATATGAGTACAGAAAAAAATATTACATATACTATCTGATTATATTTAAAACCTACTGGATTCATAGTTTACCCAGGCCAATTAGCTAGATTCAAACTATGCCCTTCTGTCAGGGGACAGTTTAATCAAATATTTAATTAACAATAGACCGTATGCTCACAAATGTTAGATACTACATATAGATGTTATATTTTAAGGATCAATTAACATATTCTAATTAGACACTTTTTTTTTAGACACTTATTTTTATAAGACTTCAACGTAAAACTAATCTTTCTTCCTCAGATTCAAGGCAGAATTTAAAAAGGGAAATCTTATACATGGCACTAGAATAATAGCTGCCGCACCGTCTGAGCTAGCTACAGTAAAAGACACAGTTGCATCAATTCACATAATCCCCATAATAATACAAGATACATATCAGAGATCTTCCAAAAATGTGTGGAAAATGTCATGATCTTTAAACTCCATTCTTCCAAAAACTTCCAGAAGTCCCCCTGTATACAACTCCATTTTAACAATGAGAAAACTGTGCTTAGCAACACTGATGTAACAAGAGGTTACATAACTAACTAGTGAGGAGCAGAGCAAGGACTCAAACCCAGATGTATCTAACCCTTAACCACCAAGCTGCTGCAGAAACCACCATGCTGCAAGAATGTATATGCTTGAATCTGATGTGGAATATTAATGAACATATGGGTAGGTGGCACTCCAAGGGATCAAGCAAAGAATTACTGAGGAGCTGTAAACTGAGCAACTTCCCATATATTATTGGGACACGTTTATATTCCAACCCATCTGGGAGGAGAGACTTTGTTGGATATCCGGGGCTTTCTGCACAACCCAACGTTACCGTATTTGTGTAGTTTGGCAAAAAGACCTAGACTAAAGGTTACCTTTCCCATCCTGACAAAGCTAAAAAACAATCCTTGGAAGAATCCAGCTGGCTCCACAAGTTTAATGAACTAGCAGGCCTATAATCTGTAAATGTAGATAACAAAATTCTGATACTAAAAACATAACACAATCTTCAGCATCACAGGAAAAAGCGACCACAAGTTAGGTGAAAAATTAGTCAGTAGACAGACTCAGAAATGACAAAAAATAGCCTTTAAAATATTGATCACAAACATGCTTGAGGATTTCAAAAAGCAATCACAGTAAATGTACTTGACACAATTGATGTATGTATGGATTGTGATAAGAGTTGTATGAGCCCCCAATAAAATGACTTTAAAAAAAGGAAGAGCAACTTTTGATCAGAGAAACTTGAGTTTGTAGTTAAAAAAACCTTCTTATACTCTCTAAACTCAAGATGTCTTTATTAGTGAATTATAATAAATAATTAAGGATGAAATAATAGCTATATGTGGGAATATCTCAGAGGTATTGAGGGTTTTGATGAAGATCACTATAAGATAATTTATCACAATCATGCAAGTCACAATATAAAAGTTTACAGCATATATAGTAATTTGTTTTATTTTGCTTAACTTTATTGCATGTTGCCCGTATAGCATTTTAGGCAAACTGAAGGTCTGTGGCAACTGTGTGTCAACACTGTGGGCACATTGCAAACAGCATGTTCTCACTTCCTATCTCGGTATCACAAGTGGTAATCTGAAATGTTTCAAACTTTATCAAGATGCTGTTGTACAATTAGCTAACTATAGTATAGTACAGTATGGTATAGAATAATGTATTGCCAAGGCATTTGACTGTGTGAATCATAACAAACTCTAGATAGCCTGAGGGAAGAGTTACAGTATACTTGTTTTTCAAACTCCACTTACCTTCAGTGGACGCAGAGCACCACAGAATTTTGTCCACCAGCTGTTTTCAATAAATTCTAAGTGCCTCTCTCTTTTCTTAAGTGTTCGTAACCTTTCTTCAAATTGTTTTAAGGCACGTTTATCCCTTGCTGGCAAAGGTCGGCCATCTTTGCTCTGCAAACAATGGACCAAATTGAAAGTTTTAAACATGCAGGTCTTAATAAAGTACCCATCTGAATTAGCAAATCAGGCAACAGTTAATTTTTTTAAGGATACTCCTTAGGCAAAATTACAATTGGGGGATAAAAACAAAGTAACTAATACCTGTGACAATAAAAAATCTCTAATTCTAGGACAGCATAAATGTATGCCTGACCCAATTCTCATGTTATCTAGCATCCCCTGTTCCAATGATAACCACTGTTGAGATGAACAATATTCTTCTGTATGGCCTATGTACTTGCATGTGTGAGTGTGTGTGTGTATTTATGGGTGTTTTTGCTGTACCTAATTAATAACATTTCTTGAACATTTTCCATGTTCCCATGACTAGTCCGTATTTTATACATTTATTCTTCACTCTCTTCAAAAGAACCCTTTGCAGTAGGTAACAGTGTTGTTATATTCATTAATTTGATGAGGAAAATAAAGCCCACAGATCTCACATGCAGTGTCAGTAAAGCCAGAATTTGAGCTTAGGTAGTCTGATTTCAAAGCTTGTACCATTTATCTGGCACACTCATTTTAAGTCCTCTGTTAAGCATCTTAGTAAATTTCCTAATTTTTATCAGAAAGGTCTGACATTTCTTTTTTATAATTTATGGCTAATACAAATGAGATCTTCTTATTATTACATCCTCTCAACTGGTTAATGATTCTTGTACATTTGTACCTGGGCACCTTGATAAACTCTTATTTCCATTAGTTTGTCAGGCTTTTCTTGATAGACAATAGTATATGTACGCATTAAAGATTGTTTCCTCTTCCTTCCCCCTCTTAATGTTCATACATATTTCTTATCTAAGACCCTCAAAAAAATGCCGAAGAATGGGAATAGTTCAAGTCTTTCACAAAGTGTGATATTCATTGTTTGTTAGGCATTATCTGCTTGTCTAATTTGGTAATATTAAAAATCAAAATTTTAATCATAACTACAAACTGAGTTTTTCAAATACTCTTTGGCATTTTATTAAACTATTTATATTTCTCATTTAACCTCAATAAATTAAGGAGTTTAGTATAATTTCCAGTGTTTATTATCCTTACAATCTTACACTGGCCATTTAGAAATATTCTTTTATTACAGCACAGATTATGAATAATTAATTTGTAGTTTTTAAATATTTGCCTCTATCAGTATAATAGTGTGTGTGCGCATGTGGTATTATCTGATGTTTGTATCAAGAATATTCTGGAATGATTTAGAACACTTTTCCTTGTTATTTAAATAATTATGTAAGCTTTATCTGTTACTTGAAAGAGACAGTACATTTAATTGGACATTGGTTACATGTAATCTTTAGCTAATCAAATTAGAAGCTGAACGTTTAACTTTTACAGAGCAAAATCTGATGATACACATGAAACCAGTCACCTGAAAGCTAGCAAAGTCGCTGCAAGTCTGATTAAAAAAACCTGCCAAGCTGCCAGGGACCTACAATTCACCGAAAATGTAATTTATAAAATATGAGGGGGCTTCAAATAAGTTCGTGGAAGAGTGAATTAAGAACATTTTCCCACAAACTTTTTGAAGTCTCCTTATGTAGGATTGGTTCTTGAGGATATATGGCTCTCAATTTTATGTTTTTACTGTAAACAAAAAATGGGTTTTTCAGTATGAAAGTCATGTCAGATACACATGTTAAAAGCAAGTTTGTGCTTCCCAACTACAATAAGACATCAACTCACTTTTGATTTAATCGTCTGAATGTGTTGCTCCACTTCTTCAATGTCTTCACTGTTTTCTAAACGTTCATAAGCAGCACTTCGAGTGCCTTTGATCAGATTTAAAGGTAATGCTGACATGCCATAGGCCTAAAAAGAAACAAATTGTTTTAGAAATATTAAACCTATTATATATAATTTTCAGGTAAGATATTTAAAAATTAAGAATAAGCAGTTGTGAAAAGGCATGGTTACTGAAAAATATGACCTATGTGAATGTATTGTTATATAGTCTTGAAGCAGTGTTACATTTCTAGCATTATTCCCAGAGTGTGTGTGTGTGTGTGTGTGTATATATACATACATACGCATGTATTCATCAAGTTACAGTATTAATATAAGTATCATATTTTATTGAAGCAATACATTACACATTCAGGCTAATTGGTGGACAATACTGTGAATTAGTAAAGCTAATTTGTAAAATTATTTCTTAGGAAGAAAAAATTTAAGTATACGATATATAGTATAGCTTTAGCAAAAGGTTAGGTATTTCAGTATCCTCTCATGGTAGCTGATTAACATACCAATTATCTGTGTACAGTTTCCTTAAAAGTTCTAATTTTTTTTATTGCCCAATTTAAATATCTTCCAACAAATAATTTTAGGCTCTTAATCAGCATAGAAATAACCATTGTTATTATATTACCCAATTCCATATTAAAAAGTAAATCCCATTGCTATGGAATCTATTCTGACTCATAGTGAGGGTATAGGACAGAGTGGAACTCAAAGCTATAAAGCAGATAACATCTTTTTCCTGAAGAGAAGCTGGTGGGTTCGAACTGTTGACCTTTGGGCTACAAGCTGAGTGCATAACCACTGTTCCACTAGGGATCCTTAATTCCTTATTAGCTATAATGTCTTTACTACATTAAGTACATAATATCTGTACTATCATAAAACTTACTGACAATTGCTATGTGACCATTGCTCAGAATCATTATTTAATCTTAAATACTTAGAAGAAAATTACCAGCTTGTGGTAACAAACTCTGAAGCAGGCACAACATTATACTTCCGTATGTAACCCTTTTTCATTTGCCTCCTGAGTACACAGGAAACCTACATTGCCTGGTTTCCACTGGCAGAGCCATGGGATTGTGTTCAGCAAAATGTATATGGGAAAAGGTAATAAATAGCACTTCTTATGCCTAACCCTTTCTCCTAAAATATCCTGGATGTTCTGCCAAGTCTCCTCACATTTCTTTACTATAAACTTTAACTACTTTAATACTCTTTACTGAGCCTTCTTTAGATATTGATTAAACCACAATTCAAATAACCAAAGATAAATTCTGGCAGATGTAAAGTAAAGCTCAGGCTAATTGTTGTTATTTGTGCTGTTTTGTTTTAATTAAGGGAGAATATAATTAAAAGGAAATTTCAGAAATCAACTAGATGTTACATTTATGTAACCAGCTGAAATTATTATCCAATGTACCAATCTTTATATTTGTGCAAAGAAAAATCTTACTTTTAGTTTTAAGAACTGTTAAAACAGTGGTTCTCAACCTTCCTAATGCTGCAACCCTTTAATACAGTTCCTCTGTTTTGGTGACCCCCCCAACCATAAAATTATTTTTGTTTTACTTCATAACTGTAATTTTGCTACTGTTATGAGTTGGTGACCCATGTGAAAGGGTCGTTCGACCTCCAAAGGGGTCACGACCTACAGGTCACTGTGTTAAAACATTAGTATTCTCATATTTTTCCCATCCTCACACCAAAACAAAAAGGAAGCAGGAAGGTTGTATTTGTATTAGAAGATGTATTTAGACAAACAGAAAATATGTTTTCCAATTCTATGTAACTCAATTCTACAATTAAGTAAGATTAAAAGGAGCAAAAGTATCCTTTCATCTTTCCTTATAGGATGTTCCTATCCCAACTGTGGGACACAGAAAGGTTATTCCCTGGGTTGTCCCCACATATTATATCCAAACCTAAGGTGTTGCTTGCTAACACGTGGTCAATGGCCCTGCACTTGGAGGTCAAGTGCTTAAAAGGTTATCTCCCTGAGGGTTATCAGCCATTTAGAGCAATCAGACCCTATAGTCTGTCCCACCCAAGGTGGGGCCCACTCCCTTCTGATAAGGATAGTGGATTGTTCCCCTGAAAGAAAGCCGAAAGACAAGGGCAAGGCAACTCAGGGAGGACCAAGGCTAGGCTGCCATCTTGAATCTAGAGTCCGCCCATCTTATCGCATGCATACCCCTAGTGCCTCCCCTTCCAATTGCATTTGCACCCCTAGCTCGTCCCCCTCATATTGCATGTGTAGCTATTGTACAACCCCTTCCTGTTACGTATGTGGTGACATATAATTTGGGGGGCTCGCACACCCCCTGAGTGTATATCAGCCTTGATTGGAAATGTATTTGCTCTCTCTGCACAGACCTGGCTGCTGAGCTCATGGCTGTCCGGGAAGTGAGCAATTGTGTGCTTTATCTTGTCTGATGTCTCTTTAATTTTATCCCTCAATTACACAACTGCCTCTTGGACCCATTTGATTATGGGGGCTGGTACCCCATACCCAACAGTAATTTTGACCTTTTGTTTTTAGTATCTCCACATTCTTTAAATATTATTGTAAAGGTTACAAGATACTTTAAGATTCTGATGAACACATAGCATAAATAATAATTATTTACTGATTCTTCAGGTGCACACAACATTTTAATACCAGTTCAGAATCAGTCTGTGCCCACGTATGCTTTATGATTCTCCTTTATGATTCTCCAGGATTAGTAAGGGTAGTTTTCAAAGTGTTCTTGGAGGTTTCCCTAGGGGAATTATAGAGAGTCCCTCTAGGGACATTACAGAAAATGACAAAATCACACAGGCACATGCAGTGCTCTCAACTACAGTGCTTACCTTATATATTTGATAAGCAAATTGTAATGCAAGTCAAGTGTCAACTTAATAATTATGCCTTTTCTGAAAAACCTTCCCTAACTTCTTAATGTACTTGGCTTATAACTCAATTTAGCATACAACACTGTACTATAATGGTCAGCATATCTGTTTTATCACTAAAACGCCCAAATTTGACTGAACAGAATAGCTGGGTTTTTAAGTCCTTAAAAATGTGCATTTCTATGCCATACTAATATTACTTAAAGTAGATTATCCTTAAGGTCTGGGCTCCAATTCTTTTCCACTTATGTTACTCCCTAAACCTTTCATAAATTAATAAAAATATTTCTCAACATTTGACAAACATTTTTTTTAAAGAGGGCTTTTAATTAACATGAATTAATTCCTAACACAGAACTTACAATTTTTAGAAAAGCATAACTGAATTCCTAAACAGCTGAATCTAAACATTTTAAAACACTAATATGTCCTTGGTAGTATATGTGGTCTGACAGGTATAGAATACAATGCCCTCTTCTGAATTTCCAATTGTTTCAAAAGAGAACGTAAAAGAAAGCAATCAACATTCAGATTTCCTGAGCTTTTAATTTACTTGTGTACATCTTAATGATTATCAGAAATTTAGTCATAATATTTAAGTTATAACAAGCCTGGCATACACATTACACAAAACGTTTAATCATTATGACTTTTAAGGTCTTTTAACAAAGATCTTCTGAATTTAAGTACAGATTTCTTGGAAAAAAATAAACAGTTTTTTTAAGACATACAAAACTTGTCTTGCCTACTACTGCCCTCTAGTGAACTGCTGGAAAATCAGCAAGAACTTAAAACAGCTTTTAGTTCAGCCCTAATTGTCTCCAATTTCATTTGGTTTGATTTGCAAACAAAAAACATAATGTATTTTAAGCCAAAAAATTTGAAAGAATATCTAAAAAGTATAAGCATTTCCAATATTCTTTTTGCACAGCTTAATTAAGAACAGCAACCTCTTATCCTGCATACTACTCTAATATGATGGTTTCCAACCTGTGAGTTCAAGGTGACTTATTGCTAAGTGTAAACTCCAAGCACTGTCTTTGGCCTGAATTAATGTCACACCCATATTTGTAAACATACCACTCAAGGACTTGTATGCTGGTATGACTAATAGTTTGTTATGTCTTCTATGGATTCTAAGTTTCATACATAATTTATCACATTAATGTCAGTAAAAATTGAATGCATTATAACTATGAGGGCACCTTATAATCAGTCAGTGCAAAAGTCATGACATTCACAACTTCGGTCATAGCCAACACACGCCCTGTCTCCCCCAACCCCCTCCAAAAAAAAAAAAAAAAGACAGTCATCAAGTTGAATCTGACTGCAAGCTAGTACAACAATAACATTTAATTGCTATTTAATATATTGTCTAAAATAATACTTTATTTGCTGTTGAAACAAAGTTTAATGCATAAAGATACAGAATAAAGAAATAAATATAATGAAGCAAATATTCACTGAAGAATGAGTACAATTCCATATTTTCTTACAATAGTTCAGTGTTTTATTACCTTAAGTACAGCAGATACTCAAAGTGAAGGCCTGTCACAATTTGTTATTTGTTATTAGGTACAAAGGGTGCCTTTTCATAAAGCACACCAGAAAGAACCCCAGGGCACTTTAACTGTATGGAATGGGTGTGCAAGCCACTTGGAAGAAGATTCCAAAGACAAGAGTGGAATACTTGCTTTGTTTTGCTTGTTTTTCACTTGAAGATTTCCTTTCAAAACAAATCTAAGTAAAGATTATTATGAGTTGATATAAAATATTAAATGGGAATATCAATGATAAATAGAAATGGCACAAATCATGGGAATGAATGGTATGACTAATCATACCAGTTCAAAATCACACTAAATTTACAGTGGTTGATTTTTCACCTGAGTGGAGCATTCTCAAAGAAAAGTTGCACCAATTCTTTGGATTCCATTAAAGATAATACTGTTTAGTAAAACATGGATACCAATACCAATTTTAAATGTAATTTAGAAGACTCAGACTATGAATGTAAAGCTTTAGAAATAACTTTCCAATTTATTTCACTTATATTTTCCTTGTAATGCATTTGAGAAATGAATACCTAAAAGTTATTCCATTAAATATAAAACAAAAATTACAAATGTTTAAGAAAGCACTGGTAAAATGTTGGGTCCTTCTTTTACTGGCAC